AGCAAGGGAAGCCTTGGGACATATGTTCAGAAGACTGAGCCTGAAAAGGGAACTCAGAAGGACAATACCACTGTTCAAACTGCAGTTTTAACTGGAGGTAAACACTGCTGTTAGTGCAGGAGAGTTGAATAGGTAGATAAAGATATAAATAGTTTTAGTCAAAGGGAAGATAACCTATTTTTCTTAAAATGTTGCAGCTGGACCTATAACCATATTAAGGGGCACAGGAACTATTCAGAGATAGTAAGAACTGCCGATGCTGGAGTCAGAGATAACAAGGTGTAGAGCTGGATGAACACAGCAGGCCAGGCAGCATTAGAGGAGCAGGAAAGCTGACGTTTAAGGTCGGGACCTTTCTTTAGAAATGGGGCTATTCAGACTCTTTGCTAGAAAAAAAATCGTTTTCCATCCAGACAATAAAATGAAAACAGAAGTGTTAATAAATGGGATAAGCATATGCCAGTTCCATTGCACAAACTGCACTTGAACTATGACCTGTCTGAAGTAGTAGTAGTTGGAGTTATTAAGAAATTGCCCATGGATGGGGTTGATTTAATCTCATCGAATAATTTGGTTGGAATAAAAGTTGTAGCATCACTCATAATCACAAAAAAAGTCTGAAAGAGGATAAAGAGACAGAACAGTTACAGGAACAATCATAGAATCCCTACAGTGTGGAAACAGGCCCTTCGGCCCAACAAGTCCACACTGAACCTCAGTGAATCCAACCAAACCCATCCCCCTATAAACCCACTTAATCTACACATTCCTGAACACAATGGGCAATTTAGCATGGCCAACCCACCTAGCCTGCACATCTTTGGACTGTGGGAGGAAACTGGAGCACCCAGAGGAAACCGACGCAGACACAGGGAGAGAGTGTAAACTCTGCACAGACAGTTGCCCAAGGGTGGAATTGAACCCAGGTCCCTGGCACTGTGAGGCAGCAGTGCTAACCACTGTGTCACCCCAACAAGTTTCAAGTATTTTTCCATCATGTGTAGCGATCAGAGCAATGGCTAAATAAACCATTACCAGAAGTCAAAGTAATACAACAAGTGGATGTTAGAGTAACTGAAGAGTTATGTAAAGAAGGGGATAATTCAAAAAGCATTTAGCATGTCTTCATTATTTGAGATGCAGAGAGTAGATTCAGAGTTAAGTAAGTTTGCACAAACAGCTCATGATGAAGTTGATGGATTTCTTGAGTGCTATTAGATTAGAAACAGAATTTTGATGAAGAATTGGAGACACTCTCGGAGACCTGCAGACGGGTAATGGATAGTTATTCATCAGATAATGGTATTGCCCAAATATCATATAGAAGTAAGGGAAACATAAGCATGAATAAATAGGACTTTTACATGCCTAAGATTTTACATGGATGTAGTGCAGTGCTGTAAAAAGTTTCAGGTAGTTGGGAAACCTCAACATGTGACAAAGCTAGCACCTTTATTATCCATACGAGTTTTTGAAGAACCGTTCAGTCAAGTGTTAGGTTGTGTAGGACCATTACCAAAAATAATCACAGTCTATCCTGACAATTATAGATACGACAGGCTGATTTCCAGAGGTTATTTCTTTCAAGACAACTACAGCTGAGGTAGTAATAAAAAAGTTAATTCAAATTTTTACACATTATGGACTACCAATTCAAATGCAATCTGATCATGTTTCTAACTGCATGTCTAAATTTTCCAGGACATAATCAGCAACAAGGAATCAGTAAACAGTTGAAGTCTGCTGCCTATCATCCACAAACGCAGGGAGCTATGAAGAGAGACCAAGGGACTCTCAAAATAATGTTTGAAGCCTACTATCATAAATATCCACAAGATTTGAACAAAAGATTAGATTTCTTACTGTTTGCTACCAGAGATGCCCTAAGTTGGGTTTAAGCCACTCAGATTGATCTATGGCCATGAGAAAAGAGGCCCATTAAAATTGTTTAAGAAAACATTCTTAAGACAAAAAGATGAATCTTCAATGTTGGTTTATGTGTCCATGTTTCAAGAGTGTTTCACAGGTGCACGTAAAGCCATGCACTCCATTTAAAGACTCCATGAGCACAAATGAAAGAATGGACAGGCCTTTATGAATTAAACCACTGAAAGCAAAATTCAGTAGCCTCAACAAGTTTGTTAAGAGAACTACAAAAAGGACTTATTTGATAGATAGCTCTGATAGCAGAAATAAAAATTGATTGCATCACATGAATATGTTGAAGCAATATCATTGCATGGAAGAAGATAAGAAAGAGCAAGTGTATTCATAGGACCATAAGACCTAGGAGCAGAAGTAGTTCATTCAGCCCATCCAGTCTGCTCTGCCATACAATGAGATCATGGTTGACCTAATGATCCTCAACTGCATTTTCCTGCCTTTTACCCATAACCCTTAATTCCTTTACCTATTAAAGCTCTGTCTATCTCAGCATTGAATATATTTAATGACCCAGTCCTCGACATCCTTTTAGGGTAAAGAATGCCACAGATTTAATATCCTCTGAGAGAAGAGATTCTTCCTCATCTGCTTTAAACTGGAATCTGTGGAAGAATGCGTTTTAAAAACAAGATACTGGAACACTTTTTGAGTAATATCTATAATGTTGCCTTGTTTAAGCAGTGAGGCAGCTTTTGGACAGGTTAGCACTACTTGAATAAGTTTACGGCAATTTTGCTCTGAGATAGTCTTTTGACTTGCTTTCGGTCAGGACCAGGTTTGAATTCAGGAGGACTCTAACATAATAAGAACCACTGGATGGGTTCTTATGCCTGTGGCAAGAGCTTTCGGTTTGGACAATACAGCTGAAACATTCAGCCTGTGAAGAGAAAACATCCATCCATCTTTATGTCTCTCTCTCCCTCTCTCTCTCTTCACCTCCACCGCACACCCCCACTCCCCCACTCCCCCCGATCCCCTGTGTGAAGGAGTAATAGAAAATATACTGGGAGCTGTTTGCATTCACCATTTCCCTGTAAACTGCTTGCATCTCTACAAATCTCCATTGAAAACAAAAGTGGAGAAACCTTGTTCATAGACACTGGTTAGTAAATGAAAGACTGAGAGTCAGTGTACCCACGACCTTGTGTCCTCATCCAAGAGTTGAAATGATTTGAAAGAAAATTTATTAATTCCTGTGATTCAGACTGATGCTAGAACTGCGCTTTACTGACCTTTTTCTCTTCCAAGCCCTTAATTCCTCTGTTCTGCCTTGTTTCTTTGTATGTCTGCTTATCTATGTTTGGGAAACTTTCAAAAGGAATAAAGTTTAAGTTATAGAATTAAGTTAACTATTGGTGTATTGATTTCTCGCTAGTTTTTTTTCTTGTTAGTGATAATAATGGTAATTATGTGCATATACTTGTAACTAAATTAAAGAGTTAGGTAAAATTGGGTAATTCTTTGCTTTAATCAAATTTTAACATTTGTGATGATTCCAAGAACAGTGGGGCTTGATTTCCAGCACACTGCACCAGAGAATGACACACTCCTGGGAGAAAATATTGGAGAGTTGAAACGATAGTGATTGGACAGAAAACAGACTTCAAGTTAGACACTGGGGCGGGAATATCAATTTTTTCAGACGTAGAAGTGAAAAGAACACTTTCTCTGACCATCCACCATTCAATTTCAGACAAGGAGGCATTCATTTCAGAGTTAATGGACAACTGATGGTGACACTTCAATGCAAAAGAAAAGATAAATCCCTGAAAACCTTTATATGATTGAAAATGAAGAATGTTTTCCACTAAGCCAGAAAGTCTTCAAAAGAGGAGAAAAGAAATTGTTGAAGAGTCAATTCTTCACTGATTACAAAATATTTACGTGCAACAACAAAAAGATTAGATGAAGTTCAGAAAGCTCAGTAAACAGGTGGAGAATGTGCTAACTTTGTGTGTGCTATATGAAAGGATGGCCAGATTGTGTTCAAAGTAATCCCTTTTTCAGACTATACTTTGAGTGACAAAAGGCATCTCAGTATCATTGATGGCATGCTAATCTATAATGAGACATTGGTCATTCAAATAGCTGTCAGAGGTGACACTTTTTAGATACACCAAGGTCATTTGGTATTACAAAGTGCCATGCTAGAGTGTGAAGTGCTGTGTCATGGCCTGGAATTTCAAAGCCATTGAAAGAAATTATTTCAAACTGCATGACATGGGAGGCAGTGGGGTAGTGGTAATGTCACCAGGCTAGCAATTCAGAATCCTAGGAAAATGTTCTGATGTCCATGGGTTTGAATCCCAGAGTGCAATTTGAATTCCATAAAAATTTGGAATAGAAAACTGATGGCAACTATGTTGATTATTAACCACTGTTGATTGTTGTTTATAAAATACACCATAAGGTTCACTAATTTCCTTTAGCGAAGGAAATCTGCTGCATTTACCTGGTCTGACTTACATGTGACTCCAAATCCACAGCAATGTGGTTGACTCTTAATTGCCCCCTGGCAATTAGGAACTGGTAATAAATAGCCAGCAATGTCCACATCCCATGAATGAAAAAGAAAATTACCGTAAAGAGCAGAGGGAACCACTGATGCTGCTTTCGTTTCTGGGGAGAAGCATAGAGAAGGAGGTTCGAAAAAAAAATTACCATGTTTAAGTGAACGTTTGTGGAGAGCAGAAGTCCTCTACTTTCTCTAAGGCAGCCAAGCAAATGACCAGAGAGTTTGGTGAAACTTCCACAGCCATTATTTCCATGAGCTAGAGATGTAGACAGAGGCTTGGTAGGGTAGGAATACTGTAAATAATATGTAATCATAAACCTGGAGGAGAGTAGCTGCGGTGTAAAAGGTTACTGCTAAATGCGTAAATGATAATTGACAATGTAAGGGATCATTTGTGCCCCTGGGTAGAGATGGTTCTACATTTAGCCTCATGCTAAGATTATCCTTTAACTAGTTTAAATAGCTTCCAGCTGTCTCTATTCATCCTGATCAAGGATACAACCTATCTTAACATCCAATACAATGATTACAGAATGTGTACCTTATACTCATCAGGGTTGGGAGCAGGAATATACTTATGTACATTTTTCAAGTACTTAGTTTCCATCTCAGCACTTGGAAAGACATAAACCATAGGACGACGAAAGTAGGGTTTATTGTCTAGGGCAAGTTCATTTTGCAACTCCTGTACAATTTAAAAAAATGTGAAAATTTAATTATATGATAATTACATCATCATTTAAAGAATATTATTTTATAAACCATTCTAATCTAAAAATACAGCCAAAAACCTCTAAGGCAATAGCTTGGTCATCCTTATCATAACATACTTAATAATTGAGCACAGATACATATCTGGCAACTACTACAGCATAGGTCACGAGAATGTCCAATTCCAGTTGTGGAACAGCATAACAAATTCCTGTAGAGAACATATAGATTTCAGTTGCACACCATCCTTTTGTTTCGTTAGAATGGTATTCATCAAATTGTAGGACTTTTGCAATGGGCTGAACTCTAAGCTAAACAAATGGATTGGATGTTACAAATAATAGTTGTTGGACATGAAACATTTAGCTCTGTTTCTCCATCTACAGATGCTGTCAGACATGTTGAGTTTTTCTAGCACTTTCTTTTTTTATTATGATGGGAGGATGGCTTCCACGGTTCTGTTCCAAAATTCAACGTTTTGATATTCCAACACAAAACAATGCAATAAAGACATTTTCTTAATGGTTGGCAGGAAGGGTTCCCATATAGATACAGTTTTCTTAAAAGGACACAGCACATTTACCCAAGTCCAACGATTGGATTTGTTGCCCTGTGGAGAACTACAAAGATTGACAAACACCATGTGAAAAAATTTACTCATTTCAAGACTTTTATTCTGAGACTGTAATACATTTTTCTAGATTTACTGGCCAGGGGATATATCCTTTCAACATCTACCCCATTAAACTCTATAAAAATATGAATTCACAAATTAAGGATATGAGGTAGGTCATTTAGGACTGAGATGAAAAGAAATTTCTTCACCCATTGAGTGTTGAGCCTGTAGAACTCTCTGTCACGGAACGCATTGAGGCCAAATTACTGAATGTTTTCAAGCAGGAGTTAGATATAGTTCACATAGTATCAACCTCACACCCTCCCTCGACCTCTTCATCTCTAACTGCTGTAGTGACATCGATCACCTCAACCTTTCCATCCCTCTCACTCACTCCAACCTCTCCCCCACAGAACGTGCATCCCTCCATTCCCTCTGCTCCAACCCTAATCTCACTATCAAACCCACGGACAAGGGAGGCGCAGTTGTGGTACGGCGCACTGACCTTTACATCGCTGAGGCCATGCGCCAACTCTCTGACATCTCCTCCTACCGCCCCCTTGATCATGACCCCACTCCTGACCACCAAAACATCATCTCCCAGACCATCCATAACCTCATCACCTCAGGTGACCTCCCACCCACAGCCTCCAACCTCATTGTTCCCCAACCCCGCATCGCCCGTTTCTATCTCCTTCTCAAAATCCATAAACCCGACTGCCCTGGCCGAACCATTGTCTCCGCCTGCTCCTGCCCCACTGAACTTATCTCCACTTATCTCGACTCCATTTTCTCCCCCCGGTCCAGGAACTCCCCGCCTATGTCGGGGACACCACCCACGCCCTTCACCTCCTCCAAAACTTCCAATTCCCTGGCCCCCAACACCTCATCTTCACCACAGATGTCCAATCCCTGTATACTTGCATTCCCCATGCAGATGGCCTAAAGGGCCTCCGCTTCTTCTTCTCCCACAGGCCGATCCAGTCCCCCTCCACCAACACCCTTATCTGCCTAACTGAACTCATCCTCACCCTTAACAACTTCTCCTTCAACTCCTCCCACTTCCTACAGATGTAAGGGGTGGCCATGGATACCCGCATGGGCCCAAGCTATGCCTACCTCTTTGTAGGATACATGGAACAGTCCCTCTTCTGCAGTTACACTGGCACTATCCCCCACCTATTCCTCTGTTACATCGATGACTGTTTCGGCGCTACCTCGTGGTCCCACGAGGAGCTCGAACAGTTTGTCAACTTTACTAACACCTTCCATCCCAACCTCAAGTTCACCTGGACCATCTCTGATACCTCTCTCTACTTCCTGGACCTCTCTGTCTCCATCTCTGGTAACCACCTTGAAACTGATATCTATTTCAAGTCCAAAGACTCCCACAGCTACCTAGACTACACCTCCTCTCACCCAGCTTCCTGCAAGAATGCGATCCCCTATTCCCAACTCCTCCGCCTCCGCCGCATCTGCTCCCAAGATGAAGTGTTCCACTCCCGGACATCACAGATGTCCTCGTTTTTCAAGGACCACAATTTCCCCACCTCAGTGGTTGAAAACGCCCTCGACCGCATATCTTGCGTTTCCCGCACCTCAGCCCTCACAGACCCTCCCGGCAATAAAAACAGAGACAGAATTCCCCTTGTCCTCACGTATCACCCCATTAACCTCCAGATTCAACGCATCATTCTCCGCCACTTCTACTACCTGCAATCTGACCCCACTACCAAGGATATATTTCCCTCCCCACCCTTATCTGCCTTCTGGAGGGACTACTCTCTCTACGACTCCCTTGTCCGCTCCACTCTCCCCACTAGCCCCACCACCCCGGCACATTTCCCTGCAACCGCAGGAGGTGCTACATCTGCCCCTACACCTCCCCCCTCACCTCCATCCCAGGCCCCGAAAAACCTGCCACATTAAACAGATGTTCACCTGCACATCCGCTAATGTGGCCTATTGTATTCGCTGTTCCCGATGTGGTCTCCTCTACATCGGAGAGACCAAGCGGAGGCATGGAGACCGCTTTGTGGAGCAGCTACACTCGGTTCATGACAAACACCTCCCAGTCGCGAACCACTTCAACTCCCCCTCCCACTCCCTGGACGACATGACAATCCTGGGCCCCCTCCAGTGTCACAACGATGCCACCCGGAAACTGGAGGAACAGCACCTCATATTCCACCTTGGGAGCCTACAACCCAATGGTCTCAATGTGGACTTTACTAGCTTAAAAATCTCCCCACCCCGACCTTATCCCAAGGCCAGCACCCCCCTCATCTCTGCCTCCTTGACCTGTCTGTCTTCTCTCCCACCTATCCACTCCACTATCCACCTTCTATCACTGCCCCCCCTCTCTATTTATTTCAGATCCCCCTTCCCCTCCCCCATTTCTGAAGAAGGGTCCAGACCTGAAACTTCAGCTTTCCTGCTACTCTGATGCTGCCTGGCCTGCTGTGTTCCTCCAGCTCCACACCTTGTTATCTCAACATCCCATTTGCCTTCCCTATTACCTTCTGAACTTGGATATTAGCTTTTTATGATTCATGGATGAGAATTCCTGAATAACTCTGAACTGTAGCTACCTACAGCCTTTCTCCATTTAAGTAATATTCAGCTCTCTATTCTTCCTGCCAGAGTGCATAACCTCACATTTCACACACGTTATATTTTGTCTTCCAAGTTTTTGCCCCCTTATTTAAATTGTCTTTGCGGATCCTTTGAGTCCTCCTCACCACTTGCCTTCCCAAATACTTATTGTGTCATCCATGTTAAAACATTCACTTTCCTCATCTAAGTTGTTAATATATATATTGTAAATAGTTGTAGTCACAGTATTGATAACTTTGGTGCTGAACACCATCTGAAAGTGTTCTCCTTCTTCCAACTTTCTACCGATCCTCTATCCATGTTACTTTCAACACTATGGGCTCTTCTCTTATCAATTAGCCAAATGTGTTGTACCATACAGAACATAGGACAGTACAGCACAGGAACAGGCCTTTCAGCCCATCATGTCTGTGTCGACTATTCTAAACTAATCCCATCTGCATGTATATGGTCAGTGTCCCTCTATTTCCTGCCTATTCAGGTGTCTGTCTACATGGTTCTTAAATGTTGCTGTTGTTTCTGCTTCTGCCACTATCTGTTGCAGTTAGTTCCAGGCACCTCCCATTCTCTGTGTAAAAATCTTGCCTCGCACATCTCTAAACTTGCCCCCTCTCACCTTAAACATATGGCCTCTATCATTTGACATTTACAACCTCGCATAAAGACTCTGACTATTGACCTTATCCATGCTTCTCATAATTTTATATATTTCTATCAGGTCGCTCCTTGGGGAGGCAATGGTCTAGTGGTATTTACACAAGACTATTAATCCAGAAACTCAGCTAATGTTCTGGGGACCTGGGTTCAAATCCGGTCATGGCAGATGGTGGAATTTGAATTCAATAAAGAATCTGGAGTTTAGAGTCTAATGAATACCACAAAACCATTGCCAATTGTCAGGAAAAGCCCACATGGTTCACTAATGTCCTTTAAGGCAGGAAAACTGCCATCCTTACCTGGTCCGGTCTACATGTCATGCCAAACCCACGGTAATGTGGTTGACTCTTAACTGCCCTCAGTAGTTACAGTTGGGTGATAAGTAATGGTCTAGCCAGAGATGCCCACGTCTCCGATGCTCTCGCGAAAGCAATCCAAATTTGTCCAAACTCTGCTTATGGCTAATATACTCCAATCCAGGCAACATCCTGGTAAACCTCTTTTGCACCCTCTCCAAAGCTTCCACATCCTTGCTATATTGTGGTGACCATCATTGCACACAATACTCCAAATGTAGGCTAACTAACATTTTATATAGCTGCAACATGACTTGCTAACTTTAATACTCAATGAAGACAAGTACACTATACACCTTCTTTATCATCTTATCCACTTGACTTGTCACTTTCAGGGACCTATGGACTTGCATCCAAAGATCCCTCTGTATATCAATGCTCTTACCGGTTCTGTCAGTAACTGTATATTTTCCTCTTGTATGTGATGTTCCAAAATTTATCTCCTCTCACTTGTCTAGATTAAACTGCACCTGCTATTTCTCTACTTAACTTTCCAAAAGATCTATATCTTGCTCTCTCCTTTGACAACCTTCCTCACTATCTAGAGCTCTACCAATTTTTGGGTTGCATGAAAGGTCAGACCACCTACATTTTCATCCAAATCATTTATGTATTTACAAACAACAGAGGTCTCAGCACTGATGCTGGTGGAACACCAGAGGTCACAAACCTCCAGTCTGAAAAGCATCCCTCCAAAACTATATCTTCTACGACCAAGCCAATTTTGTTTTCAACTTACCAACTCATTGTGGATCCTATGTGACTTAATCTTCTGGACCCGCCTACCAACTGGGACCTTGTCACATGCTTTAGTAAAGTCCATGTAGACAACATCTACTTCCCTACCATCATCAATCATCTTCTTCACTTCCTCAAAAAATTCAATCAAATTTGTGAGACAAGACCTCCTCTGCACAAAGCCGTGTTGACCATCCCTATGATGACTTCAATCTATTCAACAAAGGTCCCTGATTAGTGTATTTGCAACTTGAGGGGCTTCACATTGCTTACACATAGATCTTGCATACTAAGACAGAAAAAAAAACGAACTGTGCCCACTCCACTTACAGCCATTTTCCATTTCCAGGCTGCATTTATGATTCATATGAGAATGTACAGCACCACAGGCCATATTTAGCTGAGGGAGACATGGGGTCAGCCTGGTAATCAAAACAGTTCTCTGAACCTCCATGTATCTTTCTTCCTTGCACTCTCTGCCTAGCCAATCAGTCTGAGCTTCCACATGTTCCCACACAATGCTTTCATTTACAAACTTTATCTCACAATTTTTAACCAAGCCCTAGCCCTAAAGCTTAACCATACCAGCCATCGTGTTGTACAGTCCCCACATCAAAACCAGGGTGGTAGTGAACAATAATGACTGGTATTCCCATATTGACCCATGTCCCATGCTTGCCTTCATTTCTCAGTCCTTTGAGTATAGGAGTTGGGAAGTCACATTGAGGTTGTACAGGACATTGGTGAGACCTCTTCTGGAATACTGTGTCCGGTTCTGGTCACCTAATTATAGGAAGGATATTATCAAGCTGGAGAGGGTTCAGAAGAGATTTATCAGGATGTTGCCAGGTATGGAAAGTTTGAGTTAAAAAAAAATGCTGGATAGGCTGACACTTTTTTCACTGGAGCATAGGAGGTTGAGAGGCGACCTGATAGGAGCTTATAAAATAATGAGAGGTATGGATAGAGTTAATGGTAGTTGTCTTTTCCCTAAGATGGGGAGTTTCAAAACTAGGGGGCACACTTTTAAGGTGAGAACAGAGAGATTTAAAAAGACATGAGGCAATTTTTTTACACAGTGGGTGGTTTGCCTGTGGAATGAGCTTCCTGAGGAAGTGGTAGATGCGGGTACAATTACAACCCACTACCCCAAGTGGGTGACTGGCCATGACCAAGTCCCTGGACTGATATTGAATGAGGCCCTTTGATGTACTGTGCTAGGACCCCTTACTGAATTCTGTCTCCCTTGATCTGACTGAGAACTACTTCCCAGAGACTTTGAGAGATGCTTGAAGCACATGTAGTGTAAATACAGTACCGTATTAGCTGCTGGCATATGCTGCATGTGTGAGGTTGACTTAGAACAGTACCTGTCCCCTTGATTGATCACTAGTACCAACAATGATAAGCTGCCTAATCTATGTTTCCACTAAACTAAGACAGAAGTACTCTGAAACTTTACATTCTGGTTTAGGCAGCAAAGTGCAAAAAATGCAAGGAAAGGCAGATGCATGTGCCAGTCCCTGAGCAGAACACAACTCGGGTGCTGGAAAATATACAGTGTTCTTAGAGCAAAAATGAACTTGTAATTATCTTTCCAGGCCAGTTCCCATAAGCAAATATTACTTTGCTTGTTCTCTCCTTTTGTAAAAAAAAAACTATTATTCAAAATTTAAAGTTAATTCTCACCTTCAGCTCATAGCTCCAACCCAACAATGAGAAAAATAAAGGAAAAAATAATGATGGTCTGAGCAGTACATTATGCTGCAAAGGCAATTTCCATTAAACAAAATAAAACATGGCAAGACATTTTGGTGCCATTGGAGTGTCTGATGAAAATTCAGAGAGCGGGATCTCCTACAAAGAGAGATTCTATTTCTGTTTTGAAGCAAACAAAATTGAAGCAGAAATAGTTGTCCCTGCTTTCCTGAGTATTGTGGAGGGGGTGGGCGGTTGGGAAACTCTTGAGTAGTGTGGTACTTATGTTGAAGTGGTAGCAATTCTGTAGAACTGTTTTGCATCAAAACCATTGGTGATTGCTGAAAGGTTTAAATTCAACAAACAACAACGCAGCATGATGGTTTATGAAATGCCTTGTGACCTGTCCATAATGTGTGAAGTATAAGACAGACAAGATTAAAAGGAAATAATTTTGAAAGTGATCTATGGTCACATAGAAACAAGCATTTTCACTGCTTCCAAGAATTTGATTAAGTATTGATTAGATATGATGTTATGTGTAGTTCATGTGGGTATCTTGGCATTTATTTTGGAGGACAGTGTTGTGTAAAATCACATTTTCCATTAATAATTAACTGAAGCACATTTTGGAAGGTCTGAAAAGACAGATTGTGCGTTTTTTTTAAAAATGTGAGCACAAATCCAAAATTGACAAAATAAATTGCTAATTCAGACATTTAGTAATTAATGATGAGACTGTATAAATGGAAGAAGTGACCTGGACTCCAATCATACTTTTCGTTGCGGTTCCAGAATTGCATCACTGACTCCAGCAGGGTATATTACTGTCGTAAGAATAGTTTTTTCTGGCAGTTCAAAGTGGAAGGCTTGCGGCTGTGGGACAGTCTTTCCATTTGTATATCGTTCAATGCAGTTGTCCATCGCAGATAGTTGAGCAGTAACTGCTTCCACAAACTGATCCTGTACCCTGTCAAAAACATTATTTATAGTTACCATTAAAAGCATATGTTTTTTAAAAAGACATAAGTTTATATGTAATATATTTGACAAGAAACCTGTTTCAATTCAGAGACAAAAATACAGAATTACCCCTACATGGTGGAGCATTACTTCACAAGTAATGGTGAATCATTTAAAATAAACATCTTTACATTAGATTGATGTAGAATTTTTTGCTATATTTTTCTTCACTTTCTATCAAATATGTACAATTCAAATTTTACAATTCAAGCCCAATGTTTAATACCAGATGCAGAAACATCCACAGCATAAAATTTGATTGAACTAAGGAAGGCAGTTTCCTTCCCTAAAGGACATTAGTGAATCAGATGAGATCTCCCCAACAATTGAAAATGGATTCCTGGTCATATTAGACACTTAATTCCAGATTTTTACTGAATTTAGATTTCACCATTTGCCATGGTAGGATTCAAACCTGGGTCCCCAAAACATTATTTGGGTCTCTGAATTAATAGCCTAGCGATATCGCACTCGGCCATCACTTCCCCCTTGGTGAGTGGCTTGGAGGGGAATTTGCAGATGGTGGTGTTCCTGTGTATCCCTCTAAATGGAAGTGGTCACGAATTTGGAAGGTGCAGTCTAAGGAGCTTTGGTGAATGTCCATGGTCATCTTCTACACAGTACACTCTGCTGCTGAGTGTCAGTGGTAGAAGGAGTGGGTGTTTATGGATGTGATTGGAATCAAGGCTACAATATCCTGGATGTTGTCAGGCTTCTTGAATGCTGTGGAGCTGCTCTCATCCAGGAGAGTGGGTAGTATTCTATCACACTCTTAACTTGTGCTTTGTAAATGGTGGACAGTCTTTGGGGAGTGACTTGCAACAAAAACAGATTTTGCTGGCAAAACTCAGCATGTCTGGCAGAATCTGTGGGTAGTGAATATAGGTAAGGATTTGAGTCCAGGGACTCATGATGGTTCTGATGAAGAGTCACCAGATGAGTGATGAATGATGCACTACAAGATTCCGAGGCTGTGACCTGTTCTTGTAACCAATGCATTTATATGGTGACTCCAGTGGAGTTGCTGCTCAATGGTAAACCCAAGCATGTTGATAGTGGTGATTCAGTGATGGTAACACCATTTCATGTCAAGGTCATTAGATTGTCTTTTATTCAAAATTGTCAGTGCCTGGTATTGTGTGGTGTGAATGTTACTTGTCACTTGCCAGCCCAAGTCTGGATATTGTCCAGATCTTGTTGCATTTGAACATGGACTGCTTCCATGTCTAAGGAGTCATGAATGATGCTGGACATTGTGCAATCATCAGTGAATATCCCCACCTCTGAATTCATGATGGCAGGACGGTTTTTGATGGAGCAGTTGAAGATGGTTAGGACTCTACCCTGAGCATCTTCTGCAGAGATGTCCTGGAGCTGAGATGATTGACCTCCAACAACCACAACCAATTTCCTATGTGCCACATATGACTCCAATCAACAGAGATTTCTGTTGTTTCCAGTTTTGCTACACTCAATCAGATGTGACCTTGATGCCAAGGGGTGTCGCTCTCACTTCACCTCTGGAATTCAGCTCTTTTGTCCAGTCCACATTTGAACCAAAGCTGTAATAAGGTCCTGCATTGACTGGCTCTGTTGGAACCTAAACTGGGTATCAGTGAATAGGCTATCACTGAGCAGGCACTGCTTGATAGTACTAACATATGAACATATGAACAGAACATGAGTAGACGACTCAGCCCTCTGAGCCTGATCCACCATTCAATAAGATCATGCATGATTTGATTTCAACTTTAATTCTTCATTCCTATATATCCCTGGGAATCTTTCATTCCCTTGATAATCATGAATTTACCTATGCCTTAAAATTATTTAAACATTCTTCATCCACTGCTATATGAGGAAAGGAATTCAAAAGATTCACAACCCAGTTCGAGGAAAAAAAAAGTTTCCTCATCTTTGTCTTAACTGGGTGATCCCTTATTTTTAAACTATGATCCCTATTTCTAAATTCTCCTACAAGATGAAACATCCTTTTGACATCCACCCGGTCAAGTTTCCTCAAGATCTTTTATGTTTCAATTAAGTCACCTCTGACTCTTCTGAACTCCAGGAGATACAGGTGTAGCTGTCTCGACTTATTTCATAAGGCAATCTGCTCATTCCAGGTCTTAGTCAAGTAAACCTTGCAGCTGCTTCCATTGCATTAAGATCCTTCTGTTAATGCAGTGATTAGTATTGTATACAGTGCTCCAGATGTGATCTCACCCAATGCCCTGTACAACTGAAGCATAACCTCCCCACTCTTGCATTCAATATGACCCAAAACGTCAGCTTTCCTGCTCCTCTGATGCTGCCTGGCCTGCTGTGTTCCTCCAGTTCCACACTATGTTATCTCAGCCTTCTATTTCTGATTAATTTGCTGTACCTGTATACTAACCTTCTGCAATAAATGCACTTGGATACCCAGATCTCTCTGCATCTCAGAGGTCTGCAAACTCTCACTATTTAAATATTATGCTTCTTTTTTATTGTTTCCACCAAAATGGAACATTTCACACTTTCCCACATTGTGTTTCATTTGCCAAACTTTGCCCACTCAAAAAAAAGTCTATACCCCTTTGTCGGCTCTTATGTCCTCTTCACAACTCACTTTCCTACTTTGCGTCATCAGTAAATTTAGATACCATACTGTATTTATATGGTGAATCCAGTTGAGTTTCGGGTCAATGGTAACCCTGAGGATGTTGTTAGTGGGGGATTTAGCGATGGAAATACTATTAAATGTCAAGGTGGTTAGGTTGTTTTTTATTGGAGATGTTTATTGCCTGCCATTTGTGTGGCATGACTGTTACTTGCCACTTGTCAGCCTAAGCTTGGATATTATCCAGGTCTTCTTTCATTTGAACATGGAATTCTTCAGTATCTGAGGAATTGCGAATGGGGCTGAACATGGTGCAATCATCAGCGAACATCCCCATTTCTGACCTTATGATGGAGTGAAGGTCATTGATGAAGCAGCTGAAAATGGTTGGGCCAAGGACACTACCCTGAGGAAGTCCTGCAGAGATGTCCTGGAGCTAAGGTAACTGACTTTCAACAACCACAACCATCTTTCTATATGCCAGGTATGACTCTAACCAGCAGAGAGTTTGTCCTCTAATGCCCCTTGATGCCACACTCACTCAAATGTGGCCTTGATGTCAAGGGCTGTCAAGCTTGCCTCACCTCTGTAATCCAGCACTTTTGTCCATGTGTGAACCAAGACTGTATTGAGGTCAGGAGCTTGGTGGCCCTAGAGGAACCCAAACTTAGTGTCAATGAGTAGGTTGTTGCTAAACAGGTGCTGCTTGATAGCATTGTTGATGACATTTTCCATCACTTTACTGATGATAAAGGGTAGACTGAAGATTATTGCAAATGCTTCAGCCTTATCTTTTGCACTAATGTGCTGAGCCCTTCCATTATTGAAGACGGGGATATTATTATTTAAATGTGGACCATCTTTCAAATCTCAGTGTGGCAGGACTGTAGAGCTTAGATCTGGTCCATACATTGCGTGATTGCATTACTCTGTCTATTATTTGCTGCTAATGCTGTTTGGCACACACATAGTCCTTTTTTGTAGCTTCACCAGGTTGACACCTCAGTTATAGGTATGCCGAATGTTGTTCTTGTCCTCCTGAACTCTCCATTGAACCAGGGATCATTCCCTGGCTTGATGGTAATAGTTGAGTGGGGCTATGCTGGGCAACAATTCTGTTCAAGCACAATTCTGCTGCTGTTGCTGGCCCACAGCACCTCATGGATGTCCAGTCTTGAGTTGCTAGATCTGTTTGAAGTCTATCCCATTTAGCACAGTGATAATGCCACACAACACGAAGGCAGGTATTATTAATGTGAAGGCGGAACTTTGCCTTGTGACAATCTGAACTTCAGAACTTGAATAACTTCATAGATTGAAAGAATCAGCAATAACTCTTTCTGGAATAAATTATTTACCAAGATTAAAGCAATAAGGAGAAAATATTGTAAAGAATTAAGAGCAACATGCTAATTAACCATCCCCGGGAAGAAAGAGTCAAAGCAACATACGTAAGTTGTATCCTGGGAGAGAGAAAGTAATACTGCTTGATAACTTTCTGCCTCATGACAAATGAGCAATTAAAACTACCTGCAGAATGATTGTACTGAAGTAAAGGGGTTAATTGCAGGACAGACTGTTTCAAGCAGACAGCTAACACTGAATGTAACAAGAAACAGGGGAACTGCTTCTGATAAAAAGGCAAGCTAGGTCTCCAAAAGACTAAATAATGTTGAGGATGAAAGAATCTAGAGAATTATCAATGATGTCACACCACAAACCTGAAAGAGAGAAAATTGTGTAAGAATCCAACTTAGAACTCTCCCTTAGCAGAACTTTGAAGAACAACACCACACAAGGACTGAACCTTGGACACTTCAAGAGGCAGACCGCTGTTAGTTGGAATTATAGCTAAATTCCACCATTAATCGAGTAATAGCTAAGTAGGCTTAACTTGCTTACTGGAGGAACCTTATTTTGGTTGAAAATGCAGTAAATTTTAAATGATTATTTCAGAACTTGATTGTCTATGATATTTCATAATAAGTAGCTGAATTAAAGGTAGCTTGCAGTGATTCACCCACAACAGTCTCCTCAAAGACAGTGCAGTGGTCACTCTTACTAATACTGTCATGGACAGATGCACCTGCAGCTGTCACATTGGTAAGGATGAGGTCAAGTATGTTTTTCCCACTTGTTGGTTCCCTCAGCACCTGCCACAAACCCAGACTAGCAGTTACATGGAAATCCCCATCCAGAGTATATTTTGCACCCTTGCCACCCTCAATGCTTTTTCCAAGTGGTGTTCAAGATGGGGGAGTATTGATTCATCAGCTGAGGTAGGAAGGAATATAGTAATCAGCGGAGGTCAGCAGAGGGCATATGTTTAAATTGAGAATAAATGGTTTATAGGAGATTTGAGGAAAAAAATTGTTACCCAGAGGGTGATTGATATATGAAACATGCTCACTGAGACGCTGGTGGAGGCAAGTATTTCTCGTAATAAGAAATGGGTCAAGCACAGGTCAATGGCATTAGTGTAGTTTGGTGGTTGTTGGTCGTGATACACATGATAGGCCAAAAGGCCTATTTCTAGCTGTAAGACTCGATAACCATGACTTTATATCTTTAACTTTAACTGAGTTTCTGGATTAATAGTCTAGCAATAATACCACTGGGCCATTTATTCCCTTTTAGTTCCAAACTACAAACAAATTTTGTGCTTTTCCCCTTGAAGAATGCACAAAGACAGGGGTTAAAAAGCCAGTTTAATCTCTACTGGAGTGGACTAGTGGGTCTGAATACTCCCGTTTGTTCCCTTCTGGGTTCAAACATCAGTGTAGTATGAAGTTCCCAGTTGAGGAACTGTTCCCTTGTTACCCCTATGATGCCGGAAAAGACTCCCTCACTGTAAGTGCTAAAAAAAAACAGTTAAAATAAGGAATCAAGACAAAGGAAATTCCATCAGACTACCAAACCAAGAATTTTGAAAATTGTCTGTTCAACTTCCAACATCAGCACTACCTGCCCGGCCCAATTATAAACATAACATCTTATCTGCTCTTCATGAATAATTCAAAGACTGATCCGCATAATCTTGTATTTACTTTTAATTCTGGACTCACATTTTATTTCTAATCTGTGTGTATTTGTATTATACAATAATGGAATTTTACAACATGGAAAGAGGCCCTTTGTTATGTGTATGCTGGTCATCAAGCATCTATCTGCTCTAGTTCCATTTTCTAGTACTCAGTCCATAGCCCTGCATGCTGTGGTACTTCAAGTGATCATCCAAATATTTCTTGAATGTTGTGATGGTATCCCACCTTTACCACCTTTCAAGTAGTTAGTTTCAGATACGCACCAATCTCTGGAAGAAAAAAATACTTTTCTAAATCCCCTGGACAGTTGCGGTTGATGAGATAGTCCAATGGCAAAATGTATTGAGCAAAGTGTCTCAACATAAAACCAAACAAATGCGATCAGCAAATATTTACCTTAAAATATCATAGAAGCACTATGTTAAGAATTCTTGAATGAATAAAGTATTGTTGACCCTGGACTACATTATTGTGTTACTAACATCCTAAATGAATTCAGAAATCCTTCAACAATTAGAGCAATATATACTTTCCCCATGGCTCCTCTGGATTAGCGAGCACTACCACATCGATAGGGAGAATCAGCTTGAAGTGGATGCGTGACATCTTCCTATGTTGGATTACAATTTCTTCAGTGTGATCAGCCCGTGCCATCTCAAACAGAATCTGCATATTTATTATTTTCTGAAAGTTAAAAAACAGTTATGCTAGAATTATTACAATTCCCAAAGGTTGTAAAGTTGGGAACAATTTACAGAGTTGTAGGACGTATGTTAGCAGTTGGTAAATGAAGCACTAGGCTGATCAAAAATGCAAGTACAGGACTTGAATTTACATAAGTATTTGAAACTTAGAATGTTACTAACGTTCATTTCCATTGCCAGAATGATCTGTTATACCAACATGGCAGTCAGCAAACATTTGGCCAGAATTCAAAGCCACCAGCTTTACACATCAGACAAGGGAAAATATACACCATTAGAGTTGAGTCCTAAGAAATCAATATAAATGCTAATCCGAGCAGATGCTGAAAAAAGTTGTTTGCCGTTTCTTTATTATGAATCAGAATCATTCTAAATATAGTCTGAGAATTAGGGTCAGACCGTTCAGGAGAGATGTTGGAACTCCTATACAAAAAAGGTAGTAAATGTTTGAAACTCTCTTCCACAAATGGCAGTGGATGCTGGATCTGTCGTTAATTTTAGATCTAAGATAGACGAATTCTTGTTAAGAAATGGATTCAGGGATATGGGCCAAAGACAGGTATATGGAATTAGCCAACAGATCAGCTATGACCTCATTGAATGGTGGAACAG